AATTCAAAGCTCTTTTCTGTGTCTGAATAAGGATACAATGAAAAATCAACTTTTGGGGGTCCAGTCTGAACAGGCACACTGGAAACAACTAAACACCTCTTAGACATCATTTGTCATCTCTGTTAAAAGACAGTCTCCTTGATGGCTTCCAGAGCATAGCACTCCTCCAACGATGACATATAAATGCAAGGTGTTGTAGGGAACTATCCAGAAAGGGTGAGACTTGGGTCCTGTTGTTTTACTTTCCTGACACCTAGAATATACAGGCAATGGCTAGAGCCTTGATTGTATTTTTAGATCATGAGAAAAACCTACAGGAGCCTTAAGACTGATAGCACTGAGGAGAGCTCCATCAGCCCTTAACTGACAAATAAGAGCAACATATTTTACATGAAAGGAAAATAGATGTCCATCGTGAGTAACTGGATTTTTTTAAAGCTTGCTTTTAAAAAAATTCCTGATGCTGTAGAGATTTAGGATATAAGAAGATAGTTCCTTATAAACAGGATAGAACATCACTTTAAGACTAGCTGTGTTCCTGGCTCTGATTTACTGTCTGCCCAATTCCTATCACTGACCAAGTTGGCCTCCTAGTTAGCCCAACTCTACCAAATAGAGGTCCTCAAGTGGGAAAGTCAACTTCTTCATCTCCAAAAATCTCTCCTAAGTTCATGACATGGGGTTTCTAGTTAGACCCTTCTGGGAGCCTAAATCCAGCCAACCCCTATTCTGCTCTTTGAAAGCCAGTGGAGAGCCACAGTCCCTCAACTCAAGGAGAGTTGGAATCTGAAAGGCAAGGAGACGTCCCTAACGGGGTCCTTGAAGTTATAGCGCTGCAGAGGCCCCAGTTTTCACCAGTCACCATCAGACACAGCCATCTCCATCTTCAGGTTTGGTCTCCATTCAACATGCTGCAGAGCAGATGGGCGTCATTCTCAGGACAGCATGAAAGGCCGACAAAGTCTTCGGGCTGGTGCCCATAATGCCCACCACACACACGAATTGAGCATTGACTTCATGCCAAACATAGTCTAAGGGCTCTGAGGATTTTTATATGCATCACTGCTTAAGTCCCACAACAAAATAACAAAAATAACTGAGAAAGTGACATTTTGATTCCTTTTTTTTTACTGAGAACAATAAAATTTTTTTAAATATAAATCAAAAAATAATCATGATAATTGAGAAGAGACAATCCAACAAAATCTAACACGCGGCATGGTCCACAACAGCCCAAAGGTAGAAACCACTCAGGTGCTCGTCAATTAGTGAGCAGGTCAATAAATTTTGATCCATGCATACAATGGACCACCTCATGGTCAGGAGTCTTGTCCTCCAAGACTGTGAACACAGCAGGGAGGGACATGGAGGCAGCAGCAGGCCTTCAGCTCTGCAGGGATTGTTTTCCGTGTATCAAGAAGAAAATTAGGATGGAGTGGTGGCACGCACCTGTAATCCAAGCGTCTCGTGTCTCGGGAGGCTGAGGCATGAGGATCATGAGTTCAAAGCCAGCCTCAGCAATTTAGTGAGGCCCTAAGCAACTCAGTGAGACCTTGTCATTAAATAAAATACAGGAAAGAACTGGCAATGTGGC